CAAAGATGGGCCAGGAGCCCAGGGATAAAGAGTCCACACAAGATAAAAATAAGACAAAGCTGGCAGTTGGCTTTCTTGTTGGCAATATCAGCAATGAGGCCAAGGACCCAATGGGTGTGGAAAGCAACTCCCTATCAGGCTTACAAATAGACCCTCAGGATTTCTCCCACAAGAGGGATAAGTCCATTTATGGGGCTAGACTGTAACACTCTGGAGTGCTGTGAAATCCTTGTAAGGGTGCCAAGAGACTGCTGTTCAATATTAGCACTGCTAGATGTGCAAACACCTACACAATTCAGAAGATAAACCCAGAGATTTCAAATAGGAACCCATAGTGTCAAAAACATTCTGGCCTGTTGTGGTCTTTCTGAGTTCCTGGCACCAGGAGAATTGCTCTAGTATTTTTCTCTAGTTAAAAAATGAGTGAAAGCTAAGCTGGCATTTTCCAAGGGGTGCCTTGAATCTCTAGCAGGCAAACTGAGTTATGCTAAGGCTTTTAGCCATAGTCCAGGCCTTCCCAGATCTAAGCAATGAAATTGAACAGAGTGCCTTATAAGCTATTGGAAGTAGTAAGTGCTGTAATTGAAGTACTGTAAGTGAGCAATATATAGCGCTTTCCCTATAAGGAAAGATAACCAAAAGAAAGATAGCCTTGGTGTACCATGTAAGAAATGCTTGGCGCAGTCCCATGGAACTAGACAATTTGGGATAAGAAAGTTACAAAAGTAATGGACAAACAAAGGGAAAGGTGTGCGTTTGTGTTGTATCTGCAGGGAAACAGGGGCAACTGTGGACTTTTCACTCAAAACAGTCAGAAACACACCCAGGGGAGGACCCTGAAGGTTGCCGCTGAAACGTCTAAGCCACTTGCCAGGTAGTATTATGGGGAGGAAACCTGTAATTTTGTCTAGGGGTTACTAATACACTTTACTTAATATCAAATCGGATGAGGGGCTGTGTCAATCCTTGGGGGTCTCTGGCAAAAAGAATCCTATTGGTAACGGAGTCCAATGAAGGGAGACTTTGGTCTAAAAACATTTAGACCACTGGGCCAGGCAAGATCTAAAGTATGTCAGAATTCCTACATTGATTTTTTATCTTGTAATTATAAAAGGTGAAATTTCTGCAAAAAAATGTCAGTGTGTTTGTTCCAGACCCAGCTTAACAAGGCGTCTCACTCAAAGCCATTAGGGTTTTCCCTATTTTTCACAACCACTGCTATGTGCTGACACTGAAGGCATAGATATTAGCTCTCTTTTTTCTTGAGTTCCCCTTCATGGTGTCCTGTGAATCTGGAACCACTTGGAAAGAGTATGGGAGAAAGACACTGCAGGCAGGTGTCCTTTTGCTTCACCTACAAGACAATGAAAGGACAAGACCTCAAGAAGGGCTACAGTCAGACCCCCAGTTATGCGGTTTTGAGTTACTCTGATTCACATATACACGCTTTATATAACATGACCATGTTTCAACTCATGCGATACCCTGCTTCATGTTTACGCTGTTAGGAGTCTGCTTAAATAGCGTTAGCATCACTTGTCGTCTCCTCCAAGATTGTCCATCATTTTTGGTTACGTTAACCCCTGAACATTTGTGAAAATGGCATCAAAGGAAGTCTTGATGTTGTGCCCAAAAGAGCACGTAAGTCTATCACCCTGGCCCAGAAAATAGAAATCCTTGATAAATTAAGAGAAGGCAATAGTGCTGCATCGATTGCTTGCCAATACAATTTAAGTGAATCGACTGTGTGTACCATTAAAAAAAGTGAGCATAAAATTAGAGACTGTGTGAAAACGACAACCCCTGTGAGTTCGAGAGTGTCGTTGGTGACTAGAATTCCTCATTTAGATAAGGTTGAGAAACTCCTAATCTTTGCATCAATTAAATGACCAATACAAAGGGAGCAGTTGTTGACAGCACAGCAATTAGGGCTAAAGCTTTGTCTCTGTATGAGCCCGTAGCCGGGAGCGAAGGAGAGAGTAGTGATGCCAAGCCATTTGCTGCTAGTAGAGGTTGGCTGTACAGACTTGTTCAGTGGTATAATCTGCAAAATGTGACATTACAAGGCAAAGCAGGATCTGCTGATGTGGACAGTGCTAGCAATTTCAAGCCAGTTTTTAGAATTTATTGAAGATAAAGGCTATGAACCCACTGAAGTTTTCAACTGTGATGAAACAGGACTTTTTTTACAAGAAAATGGGTAAAGATAGATTTAAAGATAGATTAACCCTTTTGTTTTGTGCAAATGCCTCAGGGGACTTTAAATGCAAACCTACTGAGCCAAAAATCCACGTGCGCTAAAGGGTAAAAACAAGAAATGTTTGCCGGTAGTGTGGTGTTCCAGTAAGAAAGCCTGGGTCACCTGTTGTTTTTGAGAACCGGCTGCAGGGCTTGTTTGTACCGGAAGTGAAGGAATTCCTTGTGAAAAAGAATCTCTCTTTCAGGGTTCTTCTTGTGTTAGACAATGTGCCAGGTCACATGTCGGAGTCATTGTCCTTTGCTGATCCCAACGTTTCTGTTGTTTTTGCCTCCCAACACAACATCAATGTTACAACCTATGGACCAGGGTGTTATTAAGACTTTCAAGTCTTATTACACCAGGAGGCTCTACAGACAGGCACTGGACAATCGACGCAGGGAGAGTGGAGAATCTGATGCATTTTTGGAAGCAATGCATTTTAGACTGCATCAGCGTAATCCAGGAGGCTTGGGAGGAGGTCAAACCTCCAACCTTGAATGCCTGTTGGCACAAACTCTGGCCTGAGATCGTCAATGACTTCAGAGGCTTCCCCACCATCGACAACGAAGTCGCTGACATTGTGAGGCTGGCCAAATGGCTGGGAGAAGAGGGATTTGAAGACATCGAGGATGCGAAAGTGGTTGAGCTGTTTGATTCCCACCAACAGGAACCAACAAATGAGGAACTTGAGCAGCTTGCTGCATCCAGCAGCGACAGTGAGGAAGAGGAAGAGACAGAATCTGCTAAGCCAGCCTTCACTGCTAAAGCCTTTCGAGAGTTCCTGTGTAAGGCTCAAAACTTGAGTGAAGAGATCGTGGAACTTGACCCCATCATGGAAAGGAGTCTCAACTTTAAGAGGGGCTTAGATCAACTCCTTTCATGTTATAAGGAGCTCCAGAAGGAACTGGACAGGAATGCGAAGCAGTAGAGGGTCACCTCCTTCAAGCACCTCTCTGAAGCCAGATAACTCAGTGCAGCCAGATGATCTTCCATCAGATGAATAATTTGTGAGTAAAGGTTTTAATAAGGCTATTAATTTCATTATTTTGTGTTTAAATATCCTTTTATTATGAAATAATGTTATCAAATCTTGGTTTCAGGTCCCTATCTCCCTGTTTTCCATTGACATAATACTTCAGGTTACACGGTTTCAACTTACACAGTGTGTTTCAGGAACGTATCCCCCACGTAACTTGGGGTCCGGCTGTGTAGTGGATCAAATAGGAGGCAGAAGCTGTTATGCCAGAGGTGGGCAATTATTTTGGCTGGAGGGCCACTTAATGAGTTTTAGTGAGCTGTCAATGGTTGCACACATGAAATCTTTTAGAAGGTATAATTTTAACAAATTATAGACGCAAGTATCCCACCCCCTTGTCCCACTGGGGGATACCGACAACAGCGTCCCCCCGGCCGGCAGAGAGCACGGAGCATCTTGGCGTTGGTGGCGGTCTGCCAGGAAGCCCCAGGGCAGGGCAGGGCAGGGCAGGGCACGCTGCTCTTCTGCTGCAGCAGGGCAGAGACTTTCGCTCCCTTATCCTCACAAAACAGCACCCATTGGGACCCACTGGGGGAAGCTCGGCGGGGATGTTGGCAGGGGCTGGGCAGAGGAGGGTGCATGTGCAGCCATCCCTTGCTTGGGGACTCCTCTTGGTTGCCTCAAGACTTGTCCTTCCCCTTCTCACGGGGCGATTTGGCTGCCGGCAGCGGTCTCTCCCCAAAGCACCGAGCTGGCTACAGCTGGCCTGGTCTGATCCAGGCCGCCTCCTGTCTAGAAAAACCTCTGCTCTCGCCGGCTCTGGCACACCCCAGGCCCACTGCGGACAGCTCCCCGGGGCTGTGGGAGCGCCCTGCGCCAGAGGCGAGCCGGCAGCTGGCAGGGTCGCTACCCTGCTGGCCGCTCCCGGCGCCGCAGCTGGGGCCGAAGCAGGCTCAGGCCGGGCCCCGCCCAGGCCCGGGCGCGGCGGCAGGGA